TGCTGCTACTGCTGCTGATACATGTTATTCGCTACTACTACTACTACTACGACGACGACGACGACGACTACTACTACTACTAGTACTACTACCACTACCACTACCACTACCATTACCACTACCACTACCACTACCGCTACCACTACCACTACCACTACCCCTACCACTACTACTACTCCTCCTGCTGCTGCTCCACGACGACGACGACGCCTACTGCTCCTGTTTTCTACTACAGCTCGTACGACTCCCACCGCTACCGACAGCTCTGTTAGTAATGCCACCGCTGCCACGGTCACAGTGATAGCATTAGTAATGATATCACTCTATCCGGTGGTAGTTTTGAACAACACTAGCTCGTTCCCTCATGACTATGCTTTCAATAATGATGGGTCATGTTCCGTATCATCGACTACTGACAAGCACTGTGATGCTCGAAGCAGGTGAAGCAGGATCTCTGCTTGGCACGCAGACCGCTGTCGGCGGGCTTCCGAGCGCTATTGCCAGCGGAGCCAAAATGAGAATCAAGACAAAAAGCCCCAGGAAAGCTTGCCTAATGCAGGCGAGCTGTTAGCCGGAGTCCAGACACCATGCCCGGGCGCAATGTTCGCTTGGGCGGCTGCGTGCTGAAACTTGGCATGCGGCATTTGGTGATATGCGGATGCAGAAGCGGCTTTGGAGTTGGACTTGCGACTGGAGATCGCATGCCTTTTTGCTCGGTTCGCATCGTGCCTACATGTTTCCTGGTTCTCTGGCTCCCGTACAGTCTAGTCCGACGAATGCCGCGATCCAAAACAATAGCAGGGGCTCGAAAGTGCCTTCGCTCAGACGCGAGCGGGTCAGCTTGACCTCAAGATGACCTGTCACAGCTTGCTCATGCCTTGCAGCTTCACATCAGAGGCTCATGTGAAAACACCTCAGGCACGAGAAAAGTGAGTGCAGAGCCACGTGATGCTCAGGTTCTATCGATTTTCAGTTGGCGGAATGCGCAGTCCTTAGACTGAGCTCGAGCTCTCAACTCTTGAGACTCGGCCAGCGCGGGTAGGTAAAGCTTCCCATGGCTCTCACTGAGGCACGATGTGGCGGAGATCCGTGGGCATCGCCGAACCTATGTGGTAGCCTTGGCAATGTCGAGCCTCTAAAGTTTCTATGTTACTTTGTATTACAGTATTACATGATACTATGTAAGACTTATAAGTATATTATAGATAAATTCATATGATATATTACATGATCAGGCTTGGCCAAGAGGTGTTGGAGCCATGCCGGTAGCCTGCTGATGTGCGAGCATGAGGGTGTAGGACAACCGTCTGTGGCAGCTGTTTGCATTGGATGCCCCCAGCTTGAGACAGCGTCGAGATGATTGTCCATGCTTAGCAGAATCTTCCAGATTGCTGAACCTCAAGCCATGCCTTCGATTAATCACCAAAAACTCTATGGACTCTATGGTGTTGTTTCAAGGTGCTCCATGCCGTGTGCCGTAGGGCTTTTCTTGCGGTCTCAGATTCAATATCGCAGCCCTCACCGTTGAAAGCATGACCGGTGCCCGGAACCGGGCCCACTGCACGTCATGCGCCGCCCGCGGCAGCTTGCCGTTCAGGTGCGAACTGAATTCGGTGCCACAGAGGGCCACAGAGCTGAGAGGTTTGACGAATCCGAGTTGGGGATTCAGAAATACTCAGGTAGTGCATGCATGCAAAGGCTCTGAACGGCTTAATGCTCCCTGCCTGAAGCGCTCTCTTGTGCCTCCATCCTCTCTGCCTGAAGTGCCCCCTTGTGTCTCCCATCCGAGAAGTCGCAGTGCTGGAGTTGGTCCCTTTGAAGGCCATGGGCCGTCTGAAGGCCAACAACCCCAGAGACTTTGGGCTACCTCGCATAGCTTGTGCGTTCCATGGATTGATGATGGCTTCGCCACACTCCGGAGCTGTTCGTGTCAAAGTCTCAGCCTACCATCCCACCAAGGTTTCAGCCTCAAGCACTCTTGGACAAGATTCTTCAGAACCAAGCAACCCGAAGGCCCCAACTCATGCATCTCGCCTCTTTCTTCAACTCGTGATGTCAGCTGGCCCGTGGGATTGCCAGCTCGTCAGACGCTGCGGTGCAGGGAAGGCCGATTTTTCTGGGGGAGTTGGCAGCTTCGAGCTGGGCTGGTTCGTTTAAGGTTCTTGTAGAGGTAGCGGTATAAGGGTTTCATAGGGGTGTTGATGTACAGTGCCCGCTTTGGTACCGCTTTGCTCCTGAGCTGCCTTACATCAAACCTTGTTTGGGAGGCCACCTGCGCCACGCCGATACGGTGTGGTGATCGACGGTTAAAGCCTCAGAAGTGACAGGGGCTACTTTCAACTTCAAATCCTAGTAGGTATCCAGGTCTTGCACATCCTCAAGCGGATCCTACATCTGCGTTTTCAACATTGACATTTCCTAAGTTGTTCACTAGAGGCCACAAGGCATGTCCTAACAACCTTAGGACCCCAAAGGCTCATGTGCTGCGCATCTAAGCCGGTTCGCATCCACGAAGATGCTGCTGGTTGCTAGGAAGCTAAGCCTTCAAAATCCATGGCCTAACCCCTAAACCCTAACCCCTAAACCCTAAACCCTAAACCCCTAAACCCCTTAACCCAAGGCGACGTCTTTGGCCCCCGCCACTTCCCGGCCCTTCTGGCGGCCGTTCGCCGCCGCGGGCACCTCTCCTCCGGCGTGGTCTGCACTGCACTTCCCCTAGACTTGGGTTTAGGGTTTAGGGTTTAGGGTTTAGGAAAACAAGACTTGGGGGAGGCTTTGAGTGAGGGCTTTTCCTTCAAGCTGCCGTTGTTGATGTTTCGCTGCGGATTGGACTCAAGTCCCTTCTGTTCGGGTGTTTATAACGCAACCGTGAAGTTCCACATGCAAATGCAGCCTCCCACGCTCCAATGGTTTCCTGACTCCGAGCAGTGTAGCTCAAGGCTCCAGTGTGTGAGTGTGGCTAATTGGGGAATCTGTGGCACAGCATGTGTATGAGGCTTTTAAGAGCGATTGCGCTCCGAGTTGTCTGTTGCCGCTTCTAGTTGGAATCGTTTCCTTGCCCATCAGCATTATCATCACTTCTTGCGGCCATTGCTACCGCCACAATTCGAGATTTATGTACCGACAAGAGAAGCAAGTTTGCAAACCTTATCATTGTAGCGACACTGCATTTCGTAGCGGACCTAGGCCGCCCAACCACGTCGGGCCTGGCCGAGTGAGCTGAGCTTCGTCGCGGTGCCGCGGGGGAAAGGCGGGAAGGCGGGGTGGGGCATTCCGGAGTTTCGGGGATCTGCGTTCTGGGTAGTTCTCTAAATTAGCGTCCCTTTTTGGGTCTTTTTATAAGGATGCCGTACTAGTTTGGGGACCCCAACAGGGACCCGAGTTTAAAGAACTACCCCTCTGGGGGTTGTGGGTTTCGGGGGTCGGCTGTTTTTGGTACATGGCACTGGTCTTAGTTTTGCTCAGGTGTGTCGCTTGCTGACCCCCAAACTCCGAACTGCAAACACTGAGCCCCTGACCCTAAACCCGTAGATCCCAAACCCTAAAGCCCTATACCCTAAGTTCTACGCTCTGAACCCTCAACCCCTAAACCCCTCGAGCCCTAAACCCTAAATTCCACACTCTGAACCCTCAACCCCAAAACCCCTAAACCTTTGAGCCCTAAACCCTAAATCCTACACTCCGAACCCTCAATCCCTAAGTACTCCGAACCCTCAACCCCTAAACCCCCAAAGCCCTTCAGGCCAAATCGTAAGCCCCTTCTAAACCCTGAGCCCTACTGTAGGGGCCTAAATAATTACCAACATTATTTTGGGGGTTCCTTCTTGTAATTTGGTATAATGGGCCCCAAAACACAATTCTGATCATTAAGGCCCCTAATATAGACTAGAGAATTACAGAAGAGGGAGCAAACCGCTCGAAAGAGACTAGAGAATTTCAGAAGAAGGAGCAAACCGTTCGAAAGAGACTAGAGAATTTCAGCAGAAGGAGCAAACCGCTCGAAAGAGACTAGAGAGTTTCAGAAAGAGGTGCAAACCGTTGGAAAGAGACTAGAGAAGTTCAGAAGAAGGAGCAAACCGCTCGAGAGAGACTAGAGAGTTTCAGAAGAAGGAACAAACCGCTCGAAAGAGACTAGAGAATTTCAGAAGAAGGGGCAAACCGCTCGAAAGAGACTAGAGAATTTCAAGAAGAAGGAGCAAACCGTTCGAAAGAAGCTAGTGAGTTTCAGAAGGAGCGAACCGCTCGAAAGAGACTAGAGAATTTCAAGAAGAAGGAGCAAACTGCTCGAAAGATACTAGAGACTTTCAGACGCAGGAGCAAACCACTCGAAAGAAACTAGAGAATTTCACAAGAAGGAGCAAACCGATCGAAAGAGACTAGAGAATTTCAGAAGAAGGAGCAAACCGCTGGAAAGAGACTAGAGAATTTCAGAAGAAGGAGCAAGCCGCTCGAAAGAGACTAGAGAATTTCAGAAGAAGGAGCCAACCTCTGGAAAGAGAGTAGAGAATTTCAGAAGCAGGAACAAACCGCTCGAAAGAGACTAGAGAGTTTCAGAAGAAGGAGCAAACCGCTCGAAAAAGACTAGAGAATTTCAGAAGCAGGAGCAAGTCGCTTGAAACAGACTAAAGAGTTTCAGAAGAAGGAGCAAACCGCTCGAAAGAGACTAGATAATTTCAGCAGAAGGTGCAGAGACTAGAGAATTTCAGAAGAAGGAGCAAACCGCTCGAAAGAGACTAGAGAGTTTCAGAAGGAGCAAACCGCTCGAAAGAGACTAGAGCATTTCAGAAGAAGGAGCAAACCGTTCGAAAGAGAGGAGCAAGCCGCTCGAAAAAGACTAGAGAATTTCAGACGGAGGAGCAAGCCATTCGAAAGAGACTAGAGAAGTTCAGACGAAGGAGCAAACCGCTCGAAAGAGCCTAGTAGCAAACCGCCCGAAAGAGACTAGAGAATTTCAGCAGAAGGAGCAAACCGCTCGAAAGAGACTAGAGAGTTTCAGAAGCAGGAGCAAAGCGTTCGAAAGCGACTAGAGAATTTCAGAAGAAGGGGCAAGCCGTTCGAAAGAGATTAGAGAGTCTCAGAAGAAGGAGCAAACCGCTCGAATGTGACTAAAGAATTTCAGAAGAAGGAGCAAACCGCTCGACAGAGACTAGAGAATTTCAGAAGAAGGAGCAAACCGCTCGAAAGAGACTAGAGAATTTCAGAAGAAGGAGCAAGCCGCTCGAAAGCGACTAGAGAATTTCAGAAGAAGGAGCAAGCCGTTCGAAAGCGACTAGAGAGTTTCAGAAGAAGGAGCAAACCGCTCGAAAGAGACTACAGAATTTCAGAAGAAGGAGCAAGCCGCTCGAAAGGAGACTAGAGAATTTCAGAAGAAGGAGCGAGCTGCTCGAAAAGACACTAGAGAGTTTCAGAAGAAGGAGCCAACCGCTCGAAAAAGACTAGAGAAGTTCAGAAGCAGGAGCAAACCGCTGGAAAGAGACTAAAGAGTTTCAGAAGAAGG